GGAAGACGACCAAATTTTGACAACATAACTAGATGTGTGATCGATTTATTATCCGCAGCTACAACCCCTTCAAAATAGGGTGGTAAACAAACTAGTGGCCTTTGATCTGATTCCTAAAAGTCTGAACTTACATCTTTAAAGTTGATTATTGGAACTAAAGACTTGTATAAAAGCTCATTTACTAAAAAGGCTTTAGGCTCAAATTCAAAAGCCCGGTCTTATAGCCTCTTAGGTTGACTTAGTATTCTAACTTTTATTTTTATTTTTTATATTACTTACAATAGCTCTCTCTTTCTCCTCGACTCATTTCACCTCATTTTATTGGTTAAATAGACCTTTTGAATGATTTCGTTCTATATTATGCTGTTTGGATATACATTAAATTTATGAATCTTTGTGGAATTATTAGTGTTGTTGATCGTATATTATATTTGGTTAAATTTTTGTTGTCTTAATTTTTTTAACTGACTAAATCAGATTTTTATTTTTTGTAAATAAGTCAGGGCACAAGCCAATAATTATATTCATAACAGGTAATAGGCTAGGTTAGCCGGACACATTTAAACACAAACTTAACATTTTAATATCAAAGCCCTGCCCGACTCAATCTGTTAACACTCATACCTCCAAATATGTCGAGTCTTTGATGTTTTGGTTTATGGTTGTGCTGCTAATGCATGATAAGGAAGAACCTCACTTTTCTCGAAGGATTTTTTTCCCTATTAGGGGGGGGTGTTTGATAGAGGAAAAAAATTGCGTCCGGGAATCATAATCCTTAGGAATATGCTGAAAAATTGAGTTTTCTAGAAATGTGACAAAAAAACTATTTGATAGGTTAGAATATTACTAAAAATATTGACTTAAGATTACTAATCCAATATTTGGTTAATAGTGAAATATTAATGAAAATGTGAGATGATTTACAAAAATAACTTTATCACTGTCTACTCTCTCTCACACTCTCAGTCAACACATATAGAAATTATTTTTTCAAGGAATTAAATTAGGCCCCGTAATATTTGTTGAGAACTTAAAAAATTATTTACTCTTATTTTTATAACCAACTCATAATTGATCTAGAATATTTTATAACCTATTTGAACTGATTTGAAATCGAATTTTAAACGGTTCAAAATCGTTTTCGATAAATAATTTTCGAAAAAAATATTGAATCTGAAATAGAACCTCTTAAAATTCAAAATAAAATCATATCAATCATTTTGAGGAATTAATGTTGATCTTTTTGGAATTTCAAAGAAATCATAATTTCGGCTAACCGAATATATTTTGAATGTGCATGACAATCATTCTGTTCCCTGGCACTGTTTGTGAAAAGAAACAATTCTTTTCTATTTCTGTGCCTTTGAACAGTTTCTGAGGAAAAAAAATGTGTTTGATAACATGTTCTATTTTTATTCCAATAATGAGAATTGTGTTTGATAACACAACAAATAATATAATAAAAAAATAATTCCTATTAAACATAGTGGTGGTGGTAATGGTGGTGACGACAGTCGCTGCGGTGGTGGTGGTGGTAATGGTGTTGATGGTGGTTGCAAGTCGTGGTGGCCGCGGCAGTGGTAGTGGTGGTGACGACAATGACTACGACGATGGTAATGGTGGCGACAGCAGTGATGGTAGTGGTGGTGGTGGAGACGACAGTGGTAGTGGTATTGGTGGCGTAGTGGTGGCGGCGATGGTGGTGGCGGTTGGTGGCGGCAATGGTGGTGGTGGCATGGTAGTGGTAGTGACGGCAGCGATGGTGGTAATGGTGGCATAGTGGTGGTGGTGGTGGTAACAACAGTGGTTGCGACGATGATGGTGGTGATGGCAGTGGCTGCGGTGGAGGTGGTGGCGGCGGTGATGGCATGATAGTGGTGGTGATAGCAGTGGCTATGGCGATGGTAGTGGTGGTTGGTGACGGTGGTGGTGATGGTGATGGTAGTGGTAGCGACGGTGGTGGCGGCAGTGGCTGCATTGATGATGGTGGTGGTTGGTGATGGTGGTAGTGACAATGATAATAGTGGTGGTGGTGGTGGTAATGGTGACATGGTGTTAGATATGGATGGAGGCGATGGTGATGGTGGGAGTGGCATCATGGTGGTGATGGCGGTAGTGACGACGATGGTGGTGGTGGTCGTGTCGGAATGATGGTGGTGGTGGTGGTGGTGATGATGGTAGAGGTGAAGAGTGATTGAAAGAGACAAGTGTTTTTCATTTTGTGTCCGGAAACAAAAAAGCAGAAATTTTTTGATTCTTTTTTCTGTTTCTTAGCACAAAAATTAAATCGGTTCATTCCGGGAGCAAAAAATAAACCGGTTTTACCAAACGGGTTTCCTATACATTTTTGTTCCCGAGAATAGAAATTAAAAAAGAACTGATTCCGAAAAGGTGTTCATGCGCATCCTTAGAGGAATCATAAATTAATTTTTTTTTTTAAAAAGTTAATTTTTTTTATTAAAAACCCATAAAGCACTCTACTCTAAAAATAAATTAGTTAATTTCATTTACAAATCAAACCAAACCAAATCACTATATTCATCCTTAATGATAGGCCCCCACCCGTCGCTTTCTCTTTGGGGCTTTTGCCCTATTGTGTGAAAAAAAAAACCACTTATGACTTGTGAGTAGGTTTTGTTGCATAGCGCGTAGTTTTAGAACGACATAAAGCATATATTTGTAAAAGAAATTAAAATTAAACGATAGAATAGCACAAGAGGAAGGAAGAAAACACACAGAAGGAGATCATTAAAAAACATGCAAGAGCAGTACAATCACATAAAGGAAAGACTGTGAATAACTCACGCAGTAAAGCAAAAACCTAAAGTACCTATTAAGACCTTACTACGAAAAAATAGTCAGTTGCAAGTCGAGAGAGAGAGAACTTCCTAAAAGGAGAAGTGAGAAAATTAGCCCTCGTAAAGCCCCACGGATGGTTTCTCTTGGCTATATGGTTCATCCGGGGGAGAGATCGAGCTTCAAGAAATAGTGAACGGTCTTATTAATACACAAATGTATAACTCCCCAGGAATTTCAATTGCGCTTATATTCATCACTGTAGGAATTGGGTTAAAGCTTTCCCCAGCCCCTTCTCATCAATGGACTCCTGACGTATACGAAGGAGTGCAGCTCGTTCGATAAATTTCTACCTCTCTATCTATTTATGAGATGTTTGGATTTTTCAAAACTCCATGGACATGCAGAAGAGAAATGCTATTCCCACTCGGACCAAGACATCACTTTACTTGTTCAAATAACAATTAAGGTGAAGCAGAGTCAGGAACAACAAATCCCTTTATGAAAAAAAAAGATTTATTTTGCAAGTTCGTTATTACGGGTAGTTCCTACAAAGGATCAGACTAATGACGTAGACAATACTTGAATTATCAATGTAGATGCTACATAGTTGGTTCTCATCCTTCAGAGCTTTTTTCAATTTCAAATAGTTATAAAAAAACAATTCTTTTTTTCATATTTTTTTCATAACATAAATCTTGTTAAAAGTTTTGTGGTGTGAAAACTGAAAACAAAAAAGTTTGTGACACCGAAATAGGCTCCTGATAGATCAGATAAAATCGTAAATACCCCCTTTTTCATACTACTCTTTCGATAGATAATCAAATGTTAAAAAAATTCCATATCGAACTCGAAGTGCCATGACCAACCACATTGCATTGCCAGAACCCATGTTGTATATTTGAAAGAGGTTGACCTCCTTGCTTCTCTCAATTTACAATCCTCTTGCCGCTAAGCTCCCTTTCGTAGCGTTTATGACTATAGCAACAGAAAAGCCCGAAAAGAGAACGAACTTAACATAAGAAAATAGCTAGGGGAATTATGACTGACTAACTAAGAGCTGACTTGGAACTATTTAAACACTACCAAAGCGAATCAATCATAAAAAAGGAGGTGACCCGGTTTGTAGAGAAATCCGTTCTATCCCGAGCTGGTAATTAGAGTTAGAAGCTTTACAGCTTCCTCCCAATAAAATATATATTGATATCTATATATCTTTCAACTTTATTTTGAATTTTATATAGTATCAGGCCTAGTCCTGCACAAATCTAATCGGTATATTATGTATCAAGTACTAAAAAAATGAAAATGCGGATATAGTCGAATGGTAAAATTTCTCCTTGCCAAGAGGGGTTGAAGGAAATCGAATGCCGGGTTGTGTTCGTGAACCTATAAAGCACTTTTTTTATTGCCCCAATTATCTCTCAATCTAAAAAAATCCGATTCATGCAGATTCTTCCCCAACTAACGAAGAGATCTTCGCCATCTGCCGTCTGCAGTCGGGTCGTCTTCTCCCAGACGCCTTTCGACGTCCTTCCGAGTACTCCGCCGTAAAGTCCCTGAAGTCTAATAAAGTGATAAAAAAGCAGTTGCGACGCTTTACTAAAAATAGAAAAATTCCTTCAAATTGTATCTGATTCAACTCGGGTAGTGTGGACATTCCCGCATTTCCACTCCCAAGCTTTTGATAACACAGATTCCTATTTCTCAATGATATCCCACGATCAAGACAATTGGCTGAATCCCGTGAAACCATTTCATAGAATTGGCAATTCCGCCAAGATCTCTTCGTTAGTTGGGGAAGAATCTGCATGAATCGGATTGTTTTAGCGAACTTAAAAAGCCACCTACAGACGCTTTACGCCCAATCATTTCGGATAACGCTTGCATCCTCTGTCTTACCGCGGCTACTGGCACAAAGTTAGCCGATGCTTATTCCCCGGATACCGTCATTGTTTCTTCTCCAGGAAAAGAAGTTCACGACCCGTAGGCCTATGCAAGGTAATTAAAATTAAGATTTTACGTAAAATTAAAAGAGATAAAAAATTATAAAATATAAAATTCTAACGTAAAAAAATCATAAAATTATGTAGAATATTAATAAAATTATTTTAATAAATTTTTTTATAAAAATATAAAATCATAGTAATGAGTTAAAAAAAAGTTCACAGTCAAAGCGACTTAACACGAACACGACGCGGCCGCTATAATTAGGGTTTATGGTTATCCAGCAATTAGACCAATTTTGAGGGAGAGAAAGACAGAGAGATAGAGAGAGAGAGTGAGAGAATTTCAATGGCGTCAAGGGTTTCTCTGAAGGCGAAAGGCAAGAGTTCGAAGGGGTCGAAGGCGCCGGAGGATCGATCCGCGAGTGAGAGTCTGAAAGAATGGACCACATGGACGATGAGGAAAGCTAAGGTCATCACCCACTATGGCTTCATCCCTTTGGTCATCATCATTGGTATGAACTCTGACCCCAAGCCTCAACTTTCCCAGCTTCTAAGCCCTGTCTGATCTCATTCCCTCGCCGTTTCTTCATCTCAAATCGCATCAACGACGGGTCGCTTCTTCTTCTTCTTCTTCTTTTACCCCCCTTTTTTATTTATATCTTGTAAGTTTGTGGATCTAATTTTACTCTCATATCTGATGTGATATGAGGAGACCTAAGTGGATTATATGTAGCTTGTTTGATTTTGGATAATTTTCTAAGACGCAGTAGAAGAATAATACCCTTATTATATTTGCTATTTTCAACTATTGTCTCAGTGTCTTAGTTTGTTTTTCTTGACGATGGTAATCGTTTGATAAATAAATATGTTTTGAGCTACTTTCTATCATTTTTATGCTTGGTTGAGCTGATTGTGTTTCATTTTTCAAATGCATCGGCAGATGGTTTTTGTAATTATGTTTAATGCTTCAGATTGATTATATTTCTTAGAGTAAAACCCTATTTTGGTGCTAGAAATATTTTCGCAATTAGAGCTTTGTTACATCAATTTGATGATAATTTTTTGCATCAGAGTTGCAATTTATTAGGGCCAAATTGATGTCATGCGATAACCAAAAATCATAGCACGATGACCAATTTAATTTCGTTAGTATTTGGAGACCAAGCTGGCTGTTTTCACTCCCTCTCATGATTAGAAGGAAATTTAAAATTAACTTATGTTCTAGGTTGTTGTTAATTTTCCTTTTAAGTTTTTGAGAGAGGAAATAGCAAGGGTTAACCATCAGAATTTTCCTCCTTATTTTTTTGATTGAGATTGTTGACTTTGCAGAATGGGGTCCTCCTGTGCGTTGGAGTTTATGTAACTTATATGTACAGTGGTTTAGTTAATAGTTCTCATTCTTACTGTATGTAGAGTTTAATTTTCCATGGATAGACTAATGCTTGAGTCTTGTGATATTGGGGATAGCAGTGGCTTGGGTTGATTTCATATTTAAGTTTTAGTTTCATGATTTTTTCTAGTTAGTGTATAAGGATTGAACTTTGAATCAAGGGGGAGATGGAACACCAAGTTGTTACAAAGCGAGTGACCACCTGGCCTGAATGCAGTGTAATGATTTTTATGTGTACTTCTTCACCCCTCTACTCGATGCCTTTCTCACATCTGAGCTAAATATGTCTAAAGCCCCTCTCGCCCTCATTATGACTGATATGGCTGCTGAGTTTCCCAATTTGATTTGAAAATTTTAAAGCAGGAAACTGCGAACAATATTTTCAGTCAGAGCCTCAGAGGTTTGTGTCTGTTTTTTGGTGAAAAGAATGTCTTGAAACTCAGTTTTTAAAACTCTTTTGATACCAGTTATTGTATTTATCAAGTCATTCGAATTTGTGATTGTAAGATTTCTTCATTTTGATGTGAGTAGTTATCAAGTCTATATTTGGTGTCCGAGCCCAAGGTTAGCTATATTTGGCGTACATCTTCGGTTTTGATTAGTTGTTTACCCCCCAAAAAATGTTTTTTTAGTTTAAATCTCTCTCGAACATTTTGATACTTTTCTTTTTTTTAGCAAAACAAGTTAAAACAGAACACACACTTTTACATCAATTTATCCACCCTTCAAGTATGTGTCTACAGTTTCTGAAGACTTCAAAATCGTTTCCATTTGTCATTACTCAACTCTGTAGTTTGTAGAAAATTTTCGACCTCTAGCAATTAGTATGCTTGGTAAAAAATTTAGCTGCTAAATTGTCCTAGCTTAAAACTTACGGTTTGTATAATATTAGCGCTGTTGAGTTGTCTTAGATTACAATCATAATTTTGAGAGACAATAAGCAGAGATCTGAACTAGTGAGATATGCGGATTAACGGCAATTCAGCTATAGTTATTTGTTAACGAGTGTAATTGTAATGTGATCTTGTACTAACGCCTTATGCGTTTGACAATATGTACAATTAAATGAAATGCACGTAGTGTACTTCAATTGACAATCGAAATTTAGTAGGTAGGGAGATAAGGAGAAAATTGAGGTTCCATTTTTATTAAATAAATAAATCTTTGGCGAGGGATGAAAGTTGAAGTTTCTTGGTATATCAAAAAAATGAAATGTCAAATTTATTAATCGGTGTGACAACATATCATTAAATGCAAATGTAATATTTTAATATATTTTTGCATGAATCGAAATATTATTTTTTGTCAATAAATTGATCGTTTATATACACAATTTTCGCTTGAGTTGAAGACTTAGAGGACGTTGTTGTGGTGTTTGAACTGAAGTCTGATATGTTTAACACAACAACCTTCAACTTTTCTAGTAGTTTTTTTGTTATTTCGCACGTTGTGAAAATAAGGAAGCTCAGTGTCAGCTGTTTATGTCATGAGATACTCTAAATCAGTAAACTAGTCTTTTTGCTTGGACTCACCTTATTAGCTTAAGTCAAATTTGTGCTTTCATTCACCTTATCCTACAGTGAAGGGCTACCTAGTTCGGCCTATGGGTTGGATTGAAGTCCGTTGGCAGTTTATAAATAATATTAATAGATGAGTAAAGCCGCTGAAAGAAAGAGACTAATCTTTTGGGTTGAACTTCCTTTACGAACTTAAGTCGTAACATTTCTCGTCTTGGAAGAGCAAGCATCTAAATTCTGGATTTTATGACAATAATGGTTGTACCTTATTTTCCAAAAAGAAAGAGAAACAGTTGAATATTAAATTCTGGATTTTATGGTTTTGGGCAAGATTTTCAACTTATTTAAAATTTACTCTGTTCTTGTGATCAGCTGGTGAATAATTGTTAAAATCAGAATTCTAGGCTTTATTTCCTTTGTGATCTTACTTGGCTCAAGTCCGAATTAGTTGGCGCCCGTTGGCAATCAAATAAGATGATTTATACCCAAAAAAATGACTGTTATTTTGTCACAAGGTTCCAGCATGTTCAAGTTTAAGCCTCTAAAAGGTTGTCTCGTTTTATACACACACATACACAAATAAAAATAAAGAGACCTTTAACAATTAATAATCTTTATACCTTATTATCACCCAAACACTTAAGAGAAAAGAAATATGGGAAACAGCTGAATCATTACATTTCTGAAAGAATTTCATAAAGTACCCCAAACACTTGGCAAGAATTTTTTTAAAAACAACTTAATTTCAATAGTTGCTTAAAGATTACATTGATCTAAATAGATCTATATAGTTATTTAAATAATTTAAAAAGATGGGCTAAACTGGGTCATGGAAATTATTAGAGCTGTTATTTGCAATAGGCACTTACTCTTCGTGGCTATTACCTTACCTCACATTTGGAACTTGGATAGCCACGAGTAAAAGATTCCCTTGACAGCCTTGCTCAATGAAGACAATAGGAGGGCCTTTGGCTCTGAATTTGCTGTGTAATAGTTTTTATTTACTAAAAAGAAAAGATTCCGTTGATCTAAAATGATGTATATGGCTGATTAAATAATTTAAAAGAATGGGCTAAACTAGTTCATATATTTAGGTGATAGAGCTGTTATTTTACAATAGACACTTACTGTTAGTAGCTATTACCTTATCTCACCTTTAGAACTTGAATAGTCACAAGCACTCGCGGATCCAGGAATTTGAAGAAGGGGCACCCAAGTTCAAGTACATATATTTTAATAATAAATGTATATTACAATAAAAATAATTACAATGTCATTCTTCTAGGCCTTATTTTTTGGAATTCCTTCATAATTGCCTCATTACCAATGCTATCAAATACATCTTTTTCAATATATGGCACTAAACAATCATTCAACCATTCATCTCCAATCCGATTACGAAGTGCAGTCTTGATGTATTTCATAGCTGAAAATGCTCTTTCCACAGATGCAATTGCTACGGGCAAAGTCAATGCTAACTTTACAAGTAAATAAACCAAAGGATACACAATATGTTTTTTCTTTTCAACCATCCTCTTGGCAAGATTAGCTATTCCTTGCAAATTCAAAAAATCAGAATCACTTTGCATATAAAAAATATACGTGTTGAGCTGATATTCAAGCATGACAAAATCATTCAAATCAAAATCCGAAGGATAACAGCCAGCAAATTCACACAACTTATTTTTGTCAAATGCCGAGAAAGAGTTGCACAGATTTAAACATGCCATGCATTCCAGCAAATTTGAACTAACTTCACTAAAACGATCATTCAACTCTTGAAGTTGAGTATCTATCACTGCATAAAATATGTCAACCTTAAAGTGATGCAGATGAGTAACTGGTCCTCTACGTTTTGTTCTCCCTTGTAATGTAAGTACACTTTCCATATCAGGGATATCTATATCATGTTTTATACAAAAATCAGAAGTCTTCTTAAATAGATTATCCCACCCATTATCCCTCATCTTTTGTAATAACACCTTTGAAACTTTTACAAGAGTCAATATCTTGATCTTTTCTTTGAAGAACTTGTGACAACTCATTCGTTATTGCCAAGACCTTGATCATCAGGTTCAAAAGTAATACAAATTCAAAAGTTTGCATACGCATCATAAGGCCAGAGGTTTCAGACCTTTTTGCATGCATAAGAGTTGTATCATCTTTTATAATTTCTAGCACATCAAGCACAGGATCAAACAATGTACACAGACTTACCAATGATCGATAATGTGAGCTCCAACGTGTGTCCCCTGGTCGTGACAAACTCATTTCTCGATTCAAGCCTCTCCCTGATTGAACATAATCGCTTGCAATACTTTTTACTAGCTCATCAAATTGCTTTTCTCTCAAAATATCTGCTCTTTTGCAAGAAGCACCAACTGCATTACACAACAACGATATAAAATTAAAGAAATCAGTCAAAGCGTAAACCTTTTTAGCACAAGCTACTAGAGCTAACTGAAGTTGATGTGCAAAGCAGTGAACATAGTAAGCAGAATTATTTTCAACTAAAATCAAGCTTTTCAGACCACTGAATTGACCACTCATATTGCTTGCGCCATCATAACCTTGACCACGAATCTTTGTCAAGCTCAAGCCATTTTTGACAAAAATTATCTCAATCGTTTCTTTAAGTGAACTAGCTGTAGTATCTGAAACATGAACAAGACCAAGAAAACGCTCAATAATGTCACTGTTGCAGTTCACATATCTTAAAACAATGGCCATATGTTCTTTAATTGATACATCACGAGCTTCATCAACTAGTATAGAGAAGAAATTATCCCCAATATCTGAAATAATAGCTCTGGTAACTAAACTAGCAGCAACACTAGTAATATCTTTCTGAATTGAGGGAGTTATCATTTTGAGATTATCTGAGGCATTATTCAAATATACATTATTTACCTCCTCATTGCTTTCGCAAAGAAATTTTACAAGCTCCACAAAATGTCCCTGATTCATTGAAGCATCTGTCTCATTATGTCCCCGGAAAGCCAAACCTTGTCATATGAGATATCGAATACATCGAATAGAACCATTCAGACGAATACGATAATCCTGTTTGGCTTTGTCAGAAATGCCAGACACAACAATGTCAATACGTTGATTTTGATTCATCAAATCTTTGGCAGCACTGAAGCACAACGTATGAATGCTTCTAACTTTCCCAATATGTTTAAAAAGCCGTTGTTTTTCCTTCCAATTGCTAAATCCTTCTCCTGCAAATGAATCATGACCACCCCTTCCATCACCGTGCTCACATTTAAATAGATAACAATGCAAGCAAAATACAACATCTTTTGATTCACTATACTCCAATCAAGTGCCAAACTCATTGTACCATTGAGGATTAAATCTACGCATTTTACCCCCAATTAAGGATTGAGGAAAGTTGTCCAGTTTTGGTTGACAAGGACCATTCGTTAGATAAATTCTTCGAATCATTTCCCTTTCTTGAGCACTCTTCGCAAATCTCATAATAGGAAGTCTTTTACCCAGATCAGGAACATACAAATCCGGTGGACCTTCTACTGTTGGTTTGTTCTGACTCGAGGGAGTAGCACACTCATTTTGTTTATCTTGAAATAAATCAACAGATGCAGATTCGGATCGAGCACGTTTAGTACTACCACTACTTGACTTTGTAAAAAAAGAACCTACATATCTTTCCATCCTAAAAAATGACAAATGACAAAAATAAATCAATAAAAAAAGAAAGAAACCGACACTCAATATGCATAAAGAAACCTACATATTTTCTACCAAATAATGTAGCACTTGAATGCCTGATTAAAATTAAGAACTTATTTGTGCTATACACATAAACGACAATTTTGACACTTCAGATGTTGTTTGCTTGAACCCGAAATATTAACCCATTAAAGAGAATATACGTTTTTTCAAATTTTGTATAAAAAAACACTTTCCTAGCTTATTGGATTCCTCTCATCTCATGGATTAGAATTCCCCTAAAAATTAATATAATTATTATTCCGCTTGGTGATCCCAAGACCGTTTATTTAACAACTAAATAAACTTAGCTTTTTATAATGTTCACAAAAGCTAGAAATAGCCCTCCTCCTACTTGCCTTTCTTAATTTAAAGGAGACCCTAGAATCACCCTCCCCTTTCTTAATTTAAAGAATCACCCTAGAATCATGACCCTACAATCACGCATGTGCCTCTGCTTTGGCTTCATTTATATTGTGATATCCTATACGAATTCCACTATCCAGAATGGCAGAACCTATAGTTATGGATTCTAAATTATAGTAAATCTAGTAAAGTATTATAGTAAAGTATTATAATAAATCAATAAAAAAATAAATAAACCGACAACACTCAATAATTGGAGATTGAAGGTAAAGAGTAACAATACCTGGGTCTGGGTGCAGAGGCGGACGGAAGTGAAAGAATCAGATCTGATAAGAATCACAAAAAAAAAAGTCAAATAAAATAAGATCTAACCCATTACACTTACATGATAGGAATGAAAATACAAAAAGAGAACAAAATTGAAGGGTGGAGGAGAAAATTTTATACAACTCTCTCCTCTTTGTCTCCGATGAGGACTGCTTCTGGCTTCTGCTGTACCAGAATTTCGTTTAATGGAGATGCTAGATCTGGTAACAGGTGGAGAAGAAAAAGTAAAAAATAAAATAGGAGTAAATTTAAATTTAAATTTAGGGGTATTTTAGACTTTTCACTTTAAAATTTAAGGAGGGGCACGTGCCCCCCTTCTCTTCCACTTCCGTCCGCCTCTGGTCACAAGTAAAGGTGGCTTTTTAAGGTAGTATTTCTTTCTAGGTTCTGTGATTTACTCTCTTGCCTCACCCAGATTGAGTGCCTAATGCAAGTCATCAGCTTCACTTGGACTTACCTTAAAGTATTTTTATTGGTATTTGTATTCATTGTCTGCCTTATAGATTAGTTTGCACTCGTTTGAAAGCAATGAGCTCATTTGCAAAGTTTCTTCATTTCTTCTTTATAGCTTATAGCTGAAGCCTGGGATGCTGGAGGCCTCTACCAATTTGGCACTTTCCCTCACTGGGGTATTTGGTCAGAAATGAATGGGAATATACATAACTGTTGCATTCATAACCCCATTAATTATGCTGTGACAGGGGAAAAAAGAGGTTGTGGCATAATCACAGCTTGAAATGGAACTCACAAGTGTGTTTTAGAAAAAGAGAACTTAATAACACAACAATGAAATATCATAATTGCATAAGTTCTGAATGATCATTTACTAGTAATAAGCGTCATTTTCGGGTCACTTTCTATATTATTATTGGAAGCTTGGAAGAGTCGTGCGTTCTATTTCAAGGAGCTGGCTTGGCCTGTCTTTGTAGTTGTGGGATCCATACGATGGAATGTAGAACTAAATTCAATTGTAATGCACTTACACACCATGTGCCTTGTATTTAATGCACATTGGCTTATCTCCTCCTATGGGATATCTACACATCCCATGTTGCACATTGAGTGATTTTTAATTAACAGAACGGTGGCACTAACGTGTATAATCTCATGTAAATTAAGTCAAGCCCCTCATCACTAGATCATTTCTAGTGATTAAATTGCAAGGATTTTTATTCTTTTTTTTAATATAATAATAACACTGTAATTCAAACTTATAATCTCTTTAAATTTCTGTCACTAAATTGATTCTAATGTTTTTTTTTTCTCGTGGATTTTCCTGGTCTTGTATTGTCCGTGCCATGCCATTAACACAAGCTCATCCAAACTCGCGAATCCTTTTTTTTTTTTTTTTAAATTTAATCTTCCATCATCCTTGCTATTTGTTCGTGCATTCGGATTGACAGGTTTAATTTCACATTGCTATTGATTAGGCTAAAGAATACACAATACCACTTACTATCATCACTTTGCCTCATTTGGACGGCCTAAGATCCTCATCCTCTTTTCAAAAGTGTAATTAGACATATTCTTTTTAGGTACTATTACTAAGAATGCTAGTTTGGATAATCCAACAATGAAAGTACTACATTTTATTCTCTCTCTTTTCTCTCAAAAGTTCTTAAACCTTCATTTTTGTGTGCGTCAAATATGATGTAATGTTAATGCAAAATGTTATCATTTAATAATATATTAATATATTGTTTAAGGAGTTAAATTTTTTACATAATAATTATGATTGCTAAACATTATTAATAATACAATAATAGTATAAATAAATTTATTTTAATATCATACTTTCTACAAGCAGTTCACACTAGCCGAAAATCTCCTAGATAAATGATTAGGAAGCTTTTAATTAAGAGATTTTTTTTTAATAAGCTAGTAAACACACAAAAGTTGTCTTAACTTTTAATTGATCGTGTCGATCCTCTTTGATCTAATTTTTATGTCAACGATAAAATATGGAGACAATGATGGAACATAAGAACAAATGGGGCCGCAAAATGGACCTTTATTGTCTGGTCAGATGAATCTTATCAACAAAAAAAAGAAACTCTTTTGTTTGCCACAAATTTCTCACGTGATTCAATATCAGTGAATTATTATTTAGACTCATCAAACATTTTATCCAATTTGTGGTTTGAGTTTGGAGTTATGCTCGGTTACATTAGTGAATTATGTTTTTGCATTAAAAGATCCCGAATAGTTTATATATATATATATATATATATATATATATATATATATATATATATATATATATATATATATATAGAGGGGTAGGATCCTTTGACATTAGTGTCAAATTTAAAATTTGACACTTCATCTAAAAGTCGTTAGATCAATGGTGTTTACAAATCAGAGTCGTTGATCTTTTCTGATCTAACGGCGACTATCAGATGAGGTGTCAACAGATCCTACCTTATATATATATATGAAAAAATTATATTTACAAATATTTTTTCTTACAAACTATACTAAGTACGACTGGTCATATATATATATATATATATATATATATATATATATATATATATATATATATATATATATATATGAGGTAGGATCCTTTGACATCAATGTCAAATTTTAAATTTGATACCTCATCTGAGAGCCGTTAGATCAAAAAAGATCCATGGTGTCACATGCTTACAAATCAGAGTCGTTGATCTTTTTTAATCTAATGGCTCTCAGATGAGGTGTCAAATTTGAAATTTGACACAAAATCTTAACCGTTGATTTTTGCGAATCAACGTTATCAATTATTGAGAATTACGCTTATTAATTAATTATTAATTTCTAATAAATGATAATCGTTGATTCGCGAAAATCAACAGATAGGATTTGGTGTCAAAGGATCCTGCCCCATATATATGAGGTAGGATCCTTTGACACCAGTGTCAAATTTAAAGTTTGACACCTCATTTGAGCGCCGTTAGATAAAAAAAGATTAATGGTGTCACATGCTTACAAATCAGAGTCGTTGATCTTTTTTAATCTAACGGCTCTCAGATGAGGTGTTAAATGATCCTACATATATATATTTCTCAAGCTGCTTGAGATAAATTTATCTCTGGCTACCCAAAACTACGTCGTTTTTATTATTTATTTCCTTATATGTATTGATTCACCTTTGAATGGTTATGATTTCCCTTTTCTCTCTCTTCCTTTAACACCATTGATCTATCTTTGTGCGGTTAAGATTTAGCAGCCGAAGATAAATTTATCTCAAGCAGCTTGAGAAATATTTTTTCCATATATATATATATGAGGTAGGATCCTTTGACATCAGTGTCAAATTTGAAATTTGACACCTCATTTGAAAGTCGTTAGATAAAAAAAGATCAACGACTCTGATTTGTAAACATGTGACACCATTGATCTTTTTTTATCTAACGGCTATCAGATGAGGTGTCAAATTTCAAATTTGATACTGGTGTCAGATGTTCCTACCTCTCTCTCTCTCTCTCTCTCTCTCTATATATATATATATATATATATATATATATATTGATATTATTAATTTGTGTTATTATCAATGTTATTACCAGTTTGTTTCACCGTTAGATCGATTATGTAATATAACGGTTATATTTTCACTTTTGTATGATTATGATTTTCCATATTTAATACTTTAAATATGAGAAATCATAATCATATAAAGGTGAAAATAAATATAAAGTATTAAATATAAGAAGAAAAAAAAAGGTTTTACAAAGTTAAATATAATTGTTGGATCAACATAATCGATCTAAAGGTGAAACAAATGAATATATATATATATATATATATATATATATATATATATATATTCTAATCGATTCATCACTTCGCGATTAATCCGATTGGGATAAATTTTAAAATTAAGAGTTTAAATCGTTTTCAAAAACATTACTAAAATGAATCAAACACACGCTTTCATAGTTTGCTCCGAATAGTTTATATTTATGATTGAAGCTAGAAGCTTATATTTAAGAGCAGCGATTTCGGGTGCTTTAAGGTGCACGCTCACCAACCCCATTTTCTGTTCCTCATTCCTACTGCCCCACCATGTTTTTGCCTTTCTATGTGACTTTTGGATTTTTTTATTCTCCTATTTTTCTACCTGCAATGAACGGAGGTAATGAAGGAAATAAATATGAGGAAGAGGTAGAAGTTTCCCTATTTAAAAATATAAAAATAAATGAGAAGAAATAGGAGCTAAATGTAACATTTGATTCATTTCCAATCCAAACGTAATGAATGCTCTGTAATTTAAGAGAGAGATTTTTTTTCCAGTTAAATGTTGGTGAATCAATAAAAAAATAATTATTTAATTAATTATTCTACAAAATATATATGTGTTGTTTTTGTTTTATGTTTTGACTTTTAATTTTTAAAACAAAACAAAAAACATAAAAATTACTTATTTCATTAATTATTCTATAAAACAGTTTTAAGAAAAAAAAAACTAGAATACAATCAAATACATCCTAAATACTTGTCTGCAACCGATTATGTAATACATTGGGAGTCAGTAATATTTCAAGTAGTCATGATTTAAAAGTTTATCAAATCAAAATAGTTTTTATTAAGGTTATTATTATCAGAATAATATCTCTGTAGTTACTGCATATAAGTTATCTGCATTTACTTCCAAAACGACGTGGTTTTGGAATTAAAAAATTAAAAAATTATAATTATAAAGATTATAATAATCCTGAAATAAATTAAAATTATAAAAACACTATAATTTCTGCTCCAAAACGACGTCGTATTAAACTTATTGCAAATAATTTATTTGCAGTAACTGCAGAAAAATCAAATTCTATTATTATTTAGATGCCATTATTTTTTTCAAGTAAACACTAATTATTAACCTCTTTTGAGTGTTATAAGATGTGATGCACGAACACGTTTTTTGGAAGAAAAAAAATTGTGTATCGGGCACCGATATGTTCTGATATACGATCAATATTTTTTGACACGCTTCCGATATGCGGTCAATGTTTTCTGACATGTTTTTTTTATATCTAAATTTTATTTTATTTTATTTTTTAACTAAATATGAAAATTTAATTTATAAATTAAATATTTTTTATTATGAAATTTGACCTAAAAAATTAACAAGGCATGAAAAATTATTTTTCTTTATATTTATATTAGGGAATTTGAATATTTGATTGATTATATAACTTATTATAAGTTGTTATATGTATTAAATATAAATTATATTATATATATTAAAAATATTATTTAATATAAAAACGTGTCTTAACATATCGAAATATAATATTTTTTAGAATTAATCTGTCTATATATATAGAAGAAAAAATTTAACCTATCAACATGTCTGTCGAGTTGTATCCTATGTCAGTGTTGGTATAACATAAATTATGGGAAGAAAGAAAAGTATACTTGAAGAAGGAAAATGTGTTGTTTTTAGTTAACTAAGATCTAAATCCTATATATTCCCTACTTATTGTTGGTTTCAAAAATCCATTTTTAAGGCTTAAGTGTGAATTTGGTTGAGAAACTCTCAATAAGAAAGTAATTTTGTACTTAAACTCAAAATTAAACCAATTATAGATTAACATATTATTATTTCGTATTAAACAATATATGAAATTATAATTAGTTTAGTCTACCTTATGCCTAATGGCACCCATGTTTGGAAAGCTTATTTTCGAAAAAGGGAAAAAGTGCGTTGGTTGGGAGATATTGGATGACTAGATTGTGTCGTGAATAATACTTAAAAGACAAGGATGGTGTGTTTTTTTTGAAAATAAACAAGGATGGTGTTTAAAGTTTAAACCATGGTTAAGAACAAGAATCAACAGTTGTCAACCGTCTTCTAACAACAAACACCAAGGACTAAAGAATAAGAGGAACCAAATGTCCGAATATCGCAGGGGTCAAACCTTGGAAACCATTTTGTCTTGTCTTCGCCCCCGACATCATTTCTCTTTTCTTTTCCGGCCAAACTCACCGGAGCTCAGTTCAGCTCATTCGTTGACTTGACTTGATTCGACTTCACAATCTGTTATTATTCTCTTTTGTAAAGAACCTTGAGATACACCACCCCAAAAGCTAGCTCAAGGGGTGGGAGTGCCCAAGACTTATAAAGGTCATATTAGTTGCCCATCCAATCAATGTGGGACTATATATCTCAACACGCCCCCTCACGCAAAGAAGCGTGGAATTGCACAGGCCCAATTTTTTGTTTACTTACCTTTTGTGTTTTTTTTTTATTTTTAATTTCACTCTTTAAAGCGGGGGACGGTGAGGCTCTGATACCATGTAAAGAACCTTGAGATACACCACTCCAAAAGCTAGCTCAAGGGGTGGGAGTGCCCAAGGCCTTATAAATGTCATATTAGTTGCCCATCCAATCAATGTGGGACTATATATCTCAACATCTTTCTCTCCAAAGACACCCAACCTCACTTTTTTGCTTCTTTTATTTTTTAATAATTTATCTTTTTTCGTTTTCACTCATCCCTGATATGAGAAAAGCTGCACATTCTTCTGTTCCATTACTGTTCATCTCTCGATTAATCATCGGAGAGATGAATCGCTGATACTCTACAGAACTTCACCAACAGAACCAAAGCAATGAAGACACAGGCAGAAGGTGACGCTGCCGCAGCATCTAATCCCTGCGAAGGTTACCACTATCTCTCTCTTTCTTTTTGAACTAAAACATTCGACTCTTCTTCCTAAATGAATCATGGCTTTGTTTTTTGTTTTTGTTTTTTTGCATTAATTTACTTTCCATTTTCACTGTTGTTTTGTTTCTATTTGTACTTTCTATGTTTGCATGCTTTATTTGTCTCCGAGAAGCAAGGAAATAATAATGGTAAATACGAGGATAGGTGTTGTGTTTTGAGTTGACAAATGACACGTGGCGGTGTAGCAGGAGGAGGAGGAGGAGAGAAGAAGAGCATAAACGCGGAGCTGTGGCAAGCTTGTGCGGGGCCACTGTTGAACCTACCTTCAGCTGGGACTCATGTCGTTTACTTTCCTCAAGGCCACAGCGAACAGGTTACTCCAATTCAGTTCATGAACTTTTATTTTATGGTATTTTTGTGTGTGGCTTTGTCTTCTGATTCATCTTTATTTATTTTGTTATTTGATCATCTAGTTGTAGTTCACCTTTTGAAATATCTCTACATACGTTCAGCTATATTTGCTAGTTACTACCTTTTGTTTAGTTTCAACATTTTTCTAATGTACTTCATTAACTACAACTATTTTTGAAGCATAGTTTGTTACATCATATTTTCAGGATTCTTTCCTTTCAGAGCTCACATTCATTTTGACTCCAGTGACCCTTTGTTTCAGGTTGCAGCTTCTCTGAAGAAAGATGTGGATGCCCAAGTCCCAAACTATCCCAATCTTCCCTCCAAGTTACCGTGTCTCCTTCTCAATGTCACCTTGCATGTATGGTGAATTTTCTGTTGAAATGTCTACCTCAGAAGAGTTTTGTGTTCTAATATTGTCCATTTCTTCTGGTTGTCTTCCCAGGCAGATCCAGATACAGATGAAGTATATGCTCAGATGACACTTCAGCCAGTGCCTTCTGTAAGCACCATATGCAATACTATAATATAACTCTTTAAAACCATATGACATGCCAAACATCAAATATAGTATATAACTGTGTCCTATTTACAAAGATACAGGCTGGGACAATTCTTCTTAGTTCCTAGAAATTCGGGAAACATAGTTCTTTATGCGTGTCCCAACCCAAAGTTTCCAAATTCACCTCATCTGTTGATATTATGTATGCAGTTTGATACAGATGCCTTATTAAGATCAGATCTTTCTCTCAAGTCGAGTAAGCCGCAGCCTGAGTTTTTCTGTAAACAACTGACAGCAAGTGATACGAGTACTCATGGCGGTTTCTCTGTACCCCGCCGTGCTGCCGAGAAGATTTTCCCCTCTCTTGTAAGCTATATTTCCTATTTCAATTCCTCAACTACAACTTCAGAGTTTGATCTTGTTCCTGTTTCTGTATAGGATTACTCTATGCAACCTCCTGCTCAAGAACTTGTGGCCAGGGATTTGCATGATAATTTTTGGAAATTCCGCCATGTATATCGGGGTATGTTTACATATATCCATTTATAAGTTGAAACTTTTGTACCATCATAAACTTATACTGTCTGTAATCTGTAGATTTTTTTATCGAGCCCACTTCTGAAAATCTTTTTCCTATTCTTGATCTGCCTAACTAGGACAACCAAAGCGTCACTTGCTTACTACTGGATGGAGTCTATTTGTCAGTGGAAAGAGGCTTTTAGCTGGAGATTCTGTTTTATTTATAAGGTAAGAGTAATAGTTGACAACTTTCATACTGTTGGTGTTAAGAGTTTGTGGTTTACGAAGTTCTCTTACAATATTCTGATGCACCACAATCAAACATTACCATTTAGGCTCAACTTGCAATTTTACTAGATTCTCTGATTTCAAATGTTTTTGGGCAGGGATGAAAAGCAGCAGCTGCTTCTGGGTATCAGACGAGCTAACAGGCAACCCACCAATTTATCATCCTCAGTACTATCAAGTGATAGTATGCACATTGGAATTCTGGCTGCAGCAGCTCATGCTGGTGCAAACAATAGTCCCTTCACTGTGTTTTATAATCCTAGGTCAATATCTTTCATTTACTCTATTCTAACAGTATTATCAATTTTATTTCCTGTCTATTAAATCAGATTGCAAGGGAATATGAACTATTATCGTCAGTTTTAAAATTTTCAAACATACATTCTTCCTTTGAGTGCAGGGCTAGTCCCTCAGAGTTTGTTATTCCTTTAGCCAAGTACTACAAGGCAGTGTATAGCAACCAAATATCACCTGGCATGCGCTTCCGTATGATGTTTGTAACTGAAGACTCAGGAACCAGAAGGTGCCTCCCTTTGAGACCATGCATCATAAGAATAGTTTTATGAACTATGGATGCTGTTTTGAAAATATTACGTTGATGAAGAGAACTTGCGTAGTTGAATATTATAATTGGAAGATGTAAATAGTTTGGCTTGCAAAGTTAGTTGCTGACTGAAACAATATTTGATTTATCAATTCAGTTTACTTAGAAATAACATTTTATATAGTATTCCTGCGATAGCAAATGATTTTCTGGGAATAGATATTAAACATGGAAATAATTTTGATAAGAAACATTACATTCAATTGTATTGCAGATATATGGGTACAATTATTGCTGTCAGTGATTTGGATTCCGTGAGATGGAAAAACTCACAATGGCGTAATTTGCAGGTACAATTTGTGCTGTCTTTTAGCAATTCAACGAGGTAAAGTTTACCATGCATAAGTAGATTAACCCTAGATCAATTGTACTTAAAAAAAGAAAGTTTTTTCCCCAAGTTCTTAAAAGCATAAGCAGTCGTTTGTAAGTTACACATTAATTTTAGGTTGGTTGGGATGAATCAACTGCTGGGGAGAGGCGAAGTAGGGTCTCAATCTGGGAAATTGAACCTGTGACTACTCCATTTTTCATCTTCCCAACTCCATTCTTCGGATCCAAGAGACCAAGGCAACCAGGAATGCTTGGTAAATAATTCTTCTATACACATCTTTTAGGTGCAAAGTGAAGTATGTTGGATTTTTCTCTGGCAACCTCCGTTAGATCCTTTCAATTTTTACCTTCTCATTTGTTTCTGCCAAGCCTTTCTGTTTATAAAATTTCTCAATAAAGACAAATTTAAATTCAGTCTGAAGATTGGAAATTTATTTATGTTGGTGTATTTTGTATTTTTTTCAGATGATGAGCCATCCGATTTCAATAACTTTTTCAAGAATGCAACGCCTTGGCTTGGAGATGATATGTGCAAAAATGATCCTCAAGCTCTCCCTAGCATGAGCTTAGTTCAATGGATGAGCATACAGCAAAATCCTGCTATGGCTAGCTCATTGCAACCAAATTATGCGCCTTCCATGCCTGGATCTGTTCTGCAAAAGCTTCCCGGTGCAGATATTGCCCATCAGCTGGGATTTTATACTCCACAAATCTCTCAGTCAAACAATGTATCCTTTAATGCTCAGAGGATAATTCAGACTCCCCAGCAACTTGATCACCTTCGGAAGCTACCATCCACATCTAGTGCATTGGGAACAGTCATGCAGCCCCAGCAACATTTGGGTGAATCTAGGCAGAACTTGGCAAATCAAACTCTACCACAGAGTCAAGTTCACACCCAACTTCTGAATCCCCAGAGTCTTGTCCAAACCAGCAACATTCTTCAACAGCAACAACCATCCATTCAAAACCATCAACTCCGTAGAAGTCTCTCTCAGAACCCATCACAGCAGCTTCAGCAGACTATAATGGGCCAGAATCGACAGCTAAATTTGATCCAATCCCCCATGCCTGATCATATTAATCAACCATTAGAGATGTCTGATAATCAGGTTCGGCTTCAGTTGTTACAGAAGCTTCAACAACAACAACAAACACTCTTGGCACAGCAATCTGTGTTGCAGCAGCCTACTCAACTTATTGAAATCCAAGACCAACAGAGGCAGCTTTTAGATGTAGCACACAACTCTAGGGCCCTAACTCCTGGTCAAGTGTTGGAAATTCCTCCTACACTTCAAAACTCACTCCTTGAGGCTAATTCTATCCCCCATCAGATAACATCGCCTAATAGCCAAAACAATATTCTATTGTCTAATCTATCCCAGCAACCAAAGCTTCATCAACCGCAGCCTGGCTTGCTGTCTGAAATGACTGGCCACCTTGGGCTTTCCCCTACAACTACTACCAGTCTTCTATCTGCTTCTGTTTGTAGTATGCTGACAGGAGTAGGGCAATCAGTAATTACCGATGATATTCCATCTTGTTCCACTTCACCTTCCACAAATAACTGTGCCAGTGCACTTCCTCCAGTGATAAGTTCCCAGATCGGTAAGAGCACAACAATAGGGGATGACGTGGCACAGTCGGCTGTCACGATCTTGAGTCCAAGTACCTTAGAAACCATGTCATCTAATACAAACTTGGGAAAAGATGCGCAGCCAAAATTTGAAGTTAAACCTTCTTTAAACATTTCCAAAAATCAGAATCAAGGGAATTTTGCTCCTCAGACATACTTGAATGGTGGTGTCCAGACAGATTATTTGGATTCATCATTTTCTGCAACTTCAGTTTACCTTTCTCAGAGTGACACTCATATGCATCAAAATAACAACCCATCATCTTACAATCCACAGTCGATGTTTTGTAGAGACTATAATCAAAATGTGGAAGTTCAGGCAGATGCTAGGAGTAATGTTCCATATGGCAATAACAACGGCCAAATGGGAATGCCACTGAATCTAGACTCTTTTCTAACCAAAGGCACAGTGGGGCTGGGGAAGGATTTGTCAAATAATTTCTCTCCAGGAGGCATGCTTGGGGACTACGAAAATAACCGAGATGCTAACCCAGAACTTTCATCTTCAATGGTTTCACAGACATTTGGAGTCCCTGATATGACCTTTAATTCAATTAATTCCACCATAAATGATAGTAGCTTCTTGAATAGGGGTCCATGGGCTCCACCACCACTACCACTACCTCCACCACCACAACAGTTTCAGCGGATGAGAACATATACCAAGGTTTAGTATTATTATTGTTGTTATTTTCACAATAAACACGTTTCTGTGGTGGATGTATGTTTTTTGATTCGTATGTTTGTTTATAATTATTTTGTTGTTCTAACTTAGCTTTTTGTCCTTATAGGTATATAAACGGGGAGCTGTGGGAAGGTCCATAGACATAACACGCTATTCAGGTTATGAGGAACTTAAACATGACCTGGCTCGTAGGTTTGGTTTTGAGGGACAGCTGGAGGATTGGCAAAGGATAGGATGGAAACTTGTTTATGTAGATCATGAGAACGATGTCCTGCTAGTGGGAGATGACCCCTGGGAGTAAGTCTTACTGTGTCTTTTCTCATTGATATTGACTTTGTGCATGTGCGTACTCGTCATATACAAGACAATAATATTTATATTTTTCTACTATTTAAGTTTCCCATATCTCTGCTTGTGTATCATCTAATTTCACCGGGACACACATGATTAAGTCTGATGAGTATGGATAACTAACATTTCAACTTCCTACTTCTCTAGTTGTATCTTTTTAGAGCATCAAGACCATGAAAATTATGAGGAAAAACAAATTATATGGAACATTTGTATGATGTAAAATATCTGTTAAGAGTGTTAGTGTTAATAGTGTAGAAGTCCCACATTGAGTGTGTCTCTTTGTATTCTTCAATTGGTTTGCTATATAATAGCACCAATGTTGTGTAGTTTAATACAACAAGGATTACAATGAATACCTCTTGTTTCTTGGTATTTAACATGGTATCTAGAGCCTAACAAGAGGAATTTTAATCCGTTTAACTTAGTTCTATTTTCCATAATTTTAATATGGTTATAGAGAGATATCACCCTCCTTGAGAGATTCCCGTTGCTATTTCTTTTTCAGGTTTTTCTTAGTATGCTCTGTGACTGCAGCTTAGACTGATCTGTCACATCAGAAAAGAATGATCCTTGGGAAGTTGTTGGGTTGACCACCGTTGTCGTTGACCGACCACCGTTGACAGCCGTCTCCGGCGACTTTTCCGGTGACTTTCCGGCGACTTTCTCGGCGGTCCACCACCGTCTCCGATGACTCTTCCGACGACCCACCGCCGTCTCCGGCGACTTTTCCGATTCTGCGAAGCTTTGTTTTTCTTTAATCTTCTTTCTTCCCAAGATGGAGTATTTATACTATCCATCATCCATCTTGAGGGGGAGCACTGTCCAAGTTGTTGATGTTGTCTCCGCTGATGTTAATTCCGACACCGAAGTTCCTCTTGAGGGGGAGCACTGTCCATGTTGCTGATGGTCATTCCAGCACAATTGTCTTTGCCGATGATAATTCCGGCACTGTTTAGAAGTTCCTCTTAAGGGGGAGCACTGTTCATGTTGCTGATGGTCATTCCAGCACAATTGTCTTTGCCGATGATAATTCTGGCACTGTTTAGAAGTTCCTCTTGAGGGGGAGTACCGTCCATGTTGCTGATGGTCATTCCAGCACAATTGTTTGTCTTTGCCGATGATCATTCCGGTATCTTCCATGTTGATGTTCATTTCGACGTCATTTTTAGCACATTGTTGATTTTTGGTTTCTCATTTAGGAGATTTATTTTGATGTTATGTTACTTGGTCTTTCTTGTGATAAGCTTGTAGCATAGTCAAGGGGAAACCACGGCTGCTCACCAACTGTTAAATGAAATGTCTGAGAGGGATCTTGATGCTGATGTCCTGGTCAGCTCAGTTGTCTTTGCCGATGATAATTCTGGCACCATCCATGCTCTGATGTCCATTCCAGCACTGTCTCTTTATCAGCTCTTCAGACTGATGGTCATTCCAGTTGATTTGTTGTACTTAGTCATTTCATTTCGTTGATGTAGCATTGTTGTTTTTTGGTTCCTAATGAGAGCATTACTTATGTATCAAGCTTGTAGCATATGATCTATATGCTACAGCTTGAGGGGGAGTGTTAAGAGTGTTAGTGTTAATGGTGTAGAAGTCCCACATTGAGTGTGTCTCTTTGTATTCTTCAATTGGTTTGCTATATAATAGCACCAATGTTGTGTAGTTTAATACAACAAGGATTACAATGAATACCTCTTGTCTCTTGGTATTTAACAATATCAATCATCAAAATAATTGTATAATGTGCATCATGTATAAGGTGTGATCGCGTGATTCTTGAATTTGGAGTGTGTAGTGGTTGCTGGAGTGTTGAAATTAGACAACTTCCCAAAACCCATATTTTTTTTTCCAATTTAGTTGATTTGATATCCTACTTGTTTGTTATGGATATTTCAGGGAGTTTGTCAACTGTGTCCGCTGCATTAAAATACTTTCTCCTCAAGAAGTTCAACAGATGAGCTTGGATGGAGATTTTGGCAATGGTGGCCTTCCAAATCAAGCTTGTAGCAGCTCTGATGGTGGGAATACTTAAATGGAGTTCAGTAATCTGCTAACTATTCTTCCACAGTGGTAGCTCAAATTGTTTTAAGGAGGCATGCATTATTGTTGTCCCAGAGGCCTTAACTACACCTTTTTGGGAAGTTCTCTGGACGTTTTTGTCCTGCTCCTGCAGCAAGAGTAATCTTTTGCTGTTAAAAGGAAATTTTTTGGCATTGCTCTGGACAGGGAAATTTGAAGAGTCAGATAGCCTGGTAATGAACATATTTGGAGCACACGCACTCCCCAACAAAGTTAGATGTCTTAAGCCATGCATATGATGATGTTGTAATATAATATTGATAAAAAATTCTCTTGGCATAGTTTGAAATCTCTCTTTAATTCAAGAGTATTGTAGAAAAAATTTAGTGTATAGAAGTAGTAGGTTTCTTGTGCTGCCTTGGTTGGGCCTTTTGTATACACTAGGCAGCTTGATTGTGACAAAAACTTCCACTAATCCTAATGTTGTATTTATGGCCGAATAGATATTGAGGCATCAAGTGCAGAAAAATGGTGGATTGTTTTGAAGTAAAAATAGTTCACTTAATTAATTACATCTAATTACCTTTTTTATATATTGAAAATTAAAAAGGAAGCTGCTGACCGCGGCTTGCGTTTTTGGTTTCTTTTTAAATCAAATGTTCCCGATCATGTTCTTCATAAATGGATTGTTCTTCCTATGATCAGGTTTTCATTCTATTTTTTTTTTTTGGAAAAATATTTATCCTTTGAAAGATGGTTATTTTAGTTAAAATTAATATTTTTTATTTTAAAAAAACCCATCTATTTTCTTCTCTTATCCTAAAAGATATAGAATTGTGTTAACTTAAGTGAGAAAAAATGACATGTTTGGTATATAGTATAGGATAAGGCTTGATAGTATAAGGTCTGATAGTATAAGATCCGATTGTATAAGACCTGATTAAATTTTAATACTATCATGCGTTTGGTATGGTATTGTATAAGATAATACCCTCTAATCTTTTAAAAATTAATATATTAAAAAAAATTATTTTAATATATTAATATTAAAATGATATATTAGTTCTTGAGAATTGTACTTTTAAGCAACATTAATACATCAACCCCTTATCAGGCCTAATCCTACCCCTTAGGCTTGATTAAGTTATACATCATTTTGATGTATAAAGGGATCCTGCTGTATAAGCTTATAATATACGATGGTCACACTAAACAACTGAAAATGTCATAACGTATAATATAAGCTTATACTATCAGGTCTTATATGTCACAACAAAGACCCAAATTAAGTCTACCAAAAAAAAAAACACAAACACTAATTTTCATTTCAAAATAGCAGCTTCATTCGGGATTAGTCCTAAACATGTATGGGGTTTTTATCCACTGGAATCACGGAGATACCACGAGAGCCTAGGAATATTTCATTCAAAGAGATAATTATGGTCATTAAATCTTGAAAAAAAGCCATCTTTATCTCAGAAAAAGAAAGGTGAATGTAAATTGACGTTCCTCTATAGTGATTTCATGGCGTGACTCCATAGAGAAAGAAGGGCGAGTGTAAATTATTATAAAATAATGTTCCTATCCTCATGATTTTATAGCTTGACTCCCTGCATTCAAAGTGAAGTTCAAAGTTGCAAGGATTGGGCCTGTGACTCTCTACTCCAGGCCCGCAACGAAGGAAGCTATAAGGAGAAAAAAAAATGTAATAACAATAGGAGAAGGATATTGTGACAACCAAGTTGTGTTACTACCAAGTGACTACCAATTAATCTCACCGTTAGATCAATTATGTTGATCCAACGATTATATTTATTTATATCTTTGTATGGTCATGATTTCTCAAATTTAATACTTTATATTTATTTCCACCTTTGTATGGTTATGATTTCTCATATTTAATGCTTTCAATTTAAATATGGGAAATCATAACCATGCAAAGATGGAAATAAATATAACTGTTGGATCAACATAATCGATCTAACGGTGAGATTAATTGGTAGTCACTTGGTAGGAACACAACTTGGTTGTCACTAGGGGTGAAACTGGACCGGGTCGGCCTACAGGGGCCTACGGCTTAGCCTGCATCAGGCTAGATCTAACCTAGTATATTTTGTATAATAGGCCGGGCTCGGACCTTAAAAAAGCCTGTTTAATAAAAAGGCCGTAGGCCCACTTTCAAAAGGTCGGGCCTATAAGCCTACAGGCCGGCCTATATTGTACTATTTATTTTAAATAAAATAAATAAAATAGAGTAAGTATGCCTTGAAGAAAAAAAAAGATATAAATTTAATCAATTGCAATTATTTATAACTTAATCATATTCGATTATATTTTAATAGAAATCTTACTTTATTTCTTATATAGGAGGAACCAACATCTCAACATGTTAGATTGTGTATATGAATATATTAAAAGATTTTTGTCAGAGGTTATACTTACTACAAGCATCATGATGTGTTTGTTGGATTCATGTTGTTATTTTAATTTACATAGTATGGATTTGTTTGTTGGATCTGATGAAATATATGTTATTTAATTTGAGCATTTTGCTTTTGAAAATGACTTAAATGCACATTGTATTAGTTTTGTTATGATTCATGATTCTGTTTGGACGTTGAAATTGATTTTTGGTGTAGCAACAGAATTTAAGTACTTTGTAAAGTTGATTCATGGTTCTGCTTGGAAGTTAAAAATTAACAGGCTAACGGGCCAAGCCAGACCATTTGTTTTTTTCATAAACGGGCCAAACCAGACTAACAGTTAGACTCATACTAGGCTTGGGCCGAGCCAAATTGAATTTTTTTGACGTAGGCTTGGGCTTTTCGGGGCAAAGCTCGGCCCAGCCCATCCCACTTTCACCACTAGTTGTCACAATATCCTTCCCCCTTTTTTATATGTCTATTTTGTTCTATATGTTTCTTGGGAAAGGATATTGTGACAACCAAGTTGTGTTACTATCAAGTGACTACCAATCAATCTTACCGTTAGATCGATTATATTGATCCACGGTTATATTTATTTCCATCTTTGTATGGTCATGATCTCCCAAATTTAATACTTTATATTTATTTTCACTTTTGTATGGTTATGATTTCCCATATTTAATACTTACACTTTAAATACGGGGAATCATGACCATACAAATATGGAAAATAAATATAATCGTTGGATCGACATAATCGATCTAACGGTGAGATTGATTGGTAGTCACTTGTGTTAGTATTTATGTGTCCTAGAGACAATCTTATGATTAAATAAGGACATAGATGTAGACCTTTTTAATATTGTCGCAAATAAATAAAAGCACTATTTATCTTGTTTCATAATTCTATCTCGATATTAATGTTAATATATTATGAATAACTTGATAAACCCCGTGGAATAAAATAGGTATCTCTTGAATATCTGTGATGAGATCACGATCATGAGGATTCAAGAATACCGAATGCTTATTTCTAATATTATGTTCCTAGTCTAGAGATACTGAGAATGGGGTCAGTAATCTCGGGTAAGACTAGCATGACTTATCTACTTGTATATGGATACAAGGTATAGACCTCGTGTGCTACAGATATGGAGATGTCTTAGCTAAAGTCGTGGGTGGACCTATAAGAGTATAGCTCGCACTGAACGGACCCACAAAGAGACTCTATGAAGAAATCTCACAGATAGTATCATTAGAGTAGTCTCTTTATATTTGGGTATGTCTTTCCTTAGACCAGAAGTTATCACTTAGACTGTGTTTTAGAAGTCATGCTTTGACTGTATACCTCGTCTTCCTGAAACATGAAGATTCATAGGTATGCTCTTAGGCTTGTCCTGATAGGGCACAAGGTTAGGGTGATAAGCTGAAGGAATTCGTCAAATCTCTGTGAGAGATTAGGTTATCCTTAAACCGGAGAAATCAGGATGACATTTACAGTGACTCAGGAATCTATGCATAGTAAAAGAGATCATAAGATGATCTGCCTTTAGAGTCAGTAAATTGAAGACTCCCTATTTCATAAAAAGCTAACCCTAAATCGCAAGGGATGATACGTTTCTTTACCCTAGGTTTTATGGGAAGGTAACCGAGACGAAGGGACAAACATACGGCAACCAAATATGTTTAATAGGATGATCAAATCATTAATCTAACTAGTTCTGGGGCAACAAAGCATTGCTAGTGCTCTGTGTTGTCATTAGATGGGTTGTGGGCCTATTGGGCCCAAGCCCATTTATGTCAGTGGCTATGTTAGACCTAATGGGTCACACACAAACACCTAATTGTCTAGATGCTCTAGCATTAAAAGTATTGGGTCTTATAATAGTTATTAGCTCAAGAAGTAGTTTGGAACTCCACCTAAAGGGGTGGAGGGCGCATGGTCAATGTAATGAGCTTGGATAGTCCAAGTCATTACTAATTAATTTAATTAGTTAAATTAATTAATTATGAAACATTGAAATTTTGAATTTTGGAATTTAAAATTTGAATTTTGAAATTTAAATTTTGAATTTGAATTTTGAAATTCGAATTTGAAATTTGAAATTTGAAATTTGAAATTTGAATTCGAAATTTTGAAATTTGAATTTTGAATTTGAATGTTTGAAAGTTTAAATTTGAATATTTGAATTTAATAATTAAATTAGAATTGGCTATGAAAATTGTTTCATTACGAAAAAGGATAAGATAAGATCTTGTTTGAAAAAGAGAGGATAAGATCTTGTTGGAACATAACAAGATTAGATCATGTTGGAACATATCAAGAGAAAATCTCTTGGACATAATCCAAGGAGATATGGGGCGCTAATATGGCTGATGATTAGTCATCAGTATCAGCTCCAGAAGATAGAATCTGTTGAGAGAATATTTGAGTGATTTGATTACTCAAATGTATCTGGTCATTATTTAGGCTATATGGGGCACACCATATAACTGATTATATGATGATTTATGATCAGATATTTGATTAGGTTTTGAACCTAATATATCATAAAGATATGATAGGATGTTGTTGGCAAGATTTGATGATATTTGATTTGCAACAAATCCTATTCTCTCTCTCTTTGATGGAGCGCCCTTTTGGAAGGGATTTTTATTGATTAAAAATCTGATTTGTTTTTAACAAATAGGCTCCTCTTGTGCGCCTCTTTATATATGTTCCTTCTAGGGTTTTTAGAAAACTAACCAAGCCATTCTCTCATAATTTCCTGCGCCACTTTGAAAACCTCACTCTTCCAAACACTTTTACATAGCCTCCTCTCATCACACATTGAGCGAATAGCAAGCCTATCTGTGGTGATCAATTGGCGGCTTTACTGGAAAGAGTTCCTGTATCTAGACGCAGGTGGTGTGGATCAACGTTAGAGGGTCTGAACCCTTCAGACCTACCTTTGATCGTCTTGAGTTTTTCACGAACAAGGTATGTCATACGTCTTAAAGTATGTATCATGATATGCA